GAGAGTTTTACCGTGCTGACTGTCATAACTGAACGTGACATGCTGTTTGAATGCTGAGCGGAGAATGACTGACAGCTGCAGCAGAAGTTTCTGTAAACTTAAATTTAACAATGTACATATAATTCTGTCCCTCACATTAAGATATGGAATGGCTTCAGATGATACAGCTATACAGTGCATGAAAACCAAACTGGTGCTCTTCTGTTTCTTTTGGTGAAAGACTCCCCCTTGTGTCGTATAAAAAGCACAATAACCGCTGAATAATCGTCTGAAACAACCGCGGTTAGATCAAATAATCGCGATTAGACAGTTATTTAATTATCGCGACAGGCCTATTCATATTGTTCAATATTTTAATCTTTGGTAGTGAATCGCACTGACTCTCTCACGAGAAGTGAATCACAGTTTGAAGGCATGTGATTGGCTGTTCATTACTGATGTCACACTTTTATGTGTATGTGCTTCATAAACTCAGGATGAAAGCCTGAGTTGACAGAAAAAACTGATGATCAGTGTCATGGTTCCAACAAAGCCAGATTGGATTGGTTTGGTTTTGTCGGTTCAAAACTAATCCTGTAACCCTGAGTTTGTTCAGCCACCATCATGGTACAGGCCCCTGGAAGACTCTTTCAAACTACATGAACAACAACAACAAAAAAACACTTACGATCAAGCCAAGGAACAATTTGTTCATCCTTGTTTAAATGACTTCACACCATAATGGTACTACTTCTAAAACAGCACACATTTTGTCAGAAATATTTTAATTAAATCACATGTTTTACAATACTATAATTTTTTAATAAACATGGCACCATGATTATGAATTTCTTTCAATATTATAATTTATATAAATAAAATAACAATTGTTTAGAAAGATAATATAATTTAAAAATAAAATTGAAATATTTAGAATTCTACAATGTGTTTTATTTTTTAATATGATGAATATGATATTTTTTATCAATTATAGTATAAATATATAAAATTTCATACATCAAGAGCAAAAAACAACATTTATAAATTGTATTAAAAAAATCGCAAAATAACATTGTATGAATTATAAAATCCTAAATATCAAAATTAATAAAAAAATTAATTATTCTTATAAACATGACATTGTGATTACGCATTTCTTTAAATATTATAATAAAAAATTTTGAATTATACAATATTATATAATTTTTATTTTATATAATTAAATTTTCTTATAATTTCTTATTTTCATTTAAATTTATTCCGTTTTGTACATCAAGAGAAAAAAAAACATTTTTATTTTAAAACTAAAATGAAATATTTATTATTAATTGCAATATTTAATGAAATGCATTGTCATGTTGCTATGTTCTTATAAACATGGCAAAATTACAACGCACTTCATTAAACGTTATAATTAAAAAATGCAAATAAAATATTCAGAATTCTACATTATTTTATATATATATATATATAGCATTAAAAAAATCGCAAAATAACATTGTATGAATTATAAAATCCTAAATATCAAAATTAATAAAAAAATTAATTATTCTTATAAACATGACATTGTGATTACGCATTTCTTTAAATATTATAATAAAAAATTTTGAATTATACAATATTATATAATTTTTATTTTATATAATTAAATTTTCTTATAATTTCTTATTTTCATTTAAATTTATTCCGTTTTGTACATCAAGAGAAAAAAAAACATTTTTATTTTAAAACTAAAATTAAATATTTATTATTAATTGCAATATTTAATGAAATGCATTGTCATGTTGCTATGTTCTTATAAACATGGCAAAATTACAACGCACTTCATTAAACGTTATAATTAAAAAATGCAAATAAAATATTCAGAATTCTACATTATTTTATATATATATATATATATATATATATATATTAGGGATGCACGATATATCGGCCACCATATCGG